GATTCTAAATATTAATAACAAAACTTTATGCACATTGTCGAAGATATTTAAAATTTGATCAAATGAGGATCTACCAAGGATGAGAAGGAAGCACACTATTATCGCACAAGTCTTTGTCATTTTTCTTCGGAGGAGTATGTGGTATCTAAATTAGCAGTGAAATTCTGCTCTCCTAAACTTCGTGATGGTAGCATTATGAGCCTATAGGGCCATATTTATATAGTGATCATAGGTGTCTTTGTATCCATTGTATGAGATTATACTCGATTAGGAAAATAACAATGTTGCAAGGTTTGTGCATTTCTGGAAACGTATCAAGGCCCGTTTTATAGCGTTTATGGAAAGAAATCACAACGCATTTTCTGAAGAGATTATAGTTAGCATAGGAGAACACGATGCACTTAGACACATTAGAATCCTTGAATGGAAGTTTCCTCATTGCTGAATGATTACTTGCTACAGATGGCATTGTCATCCCTAATGAAGAGATTTGTTTCCATTTTGAAGAAGAAAGGTTTTCACAAAAGAGGCACGGCGTGTTTTGGTCTGAAACCGTTCTTAGAAAATTTCCAAACTAATGTCCGGCAGAGGAGTTTCGGAATTTTATCGCATATAAGTAACTTTTATATGAACGGTACAGCGAAAAATTAGCATTGTGTTGTTTTGATGCAGTTAACAAAGCATACCAATTCCCATCAATTACGAGTGTGACGCTATTGGACTGTTTCACAATAGCTTGGGTCTTTTAACGACATGTATCTACCTAGGAACTCGGTATTCCCTGTGGCAATTGTTTGATTCTGCCCTCTCTGTTGTGGGACTTGGTTTAGTGATCCTATCCGATACTGGGGTAGCGGTGAAAAAATGGTGAAGACTTGTGCGGTATTAGTGTGTTTCCTTCTCATCCTTGGTATATCTTATTTTGATCTCTTTTTTACATATCTTATTTATATAATGTGCATAAAATTTAGTTCTTAAATATTTAGAATCAGTAAGAAATATATATATATATATATATATATATATATATATATATATATATATATATGCATGCGTGATGTATAGGTGTAGATATATACATATGTAAGAGTGATATAATACTGGATCTGCATATATAATGTTATTGGACATGCATGCTGATGCAGGTCTGCAAGATGGAGCTAAAAGTAGAGAACTGGAACATGCAAAGAAGGCTGAGCACTTATCCCTTTCTGCGTTGGCATCCGCGGCTCCGGCACCATATCATCTAGAATGCATAAGTGAAGAACAATGCTATGAGTACATGTGTAAGGATCCTCACTGCATAATGCATTGTGTGCTAGGAACTTGTCAGTGTTCTTGCGGAAAAGACATATAGTAGGCACTTTACATCAAATTCAAATAAAGGCAATTGGGTATTATGAAAACTAAATGAAAATCAAAACATGTGTAAGTGAAAATCAAAGAGAAATATATCCTTGTGATGAAATTATCAATGAAGTTATACTTCAAATTTTCATTCTAATTAATGTTTTATATTTTTACATGTCATCCAATCGTATTATGTATCTTTTAATGTATTTTTATGTTTGTAAAAATAATTAGATAATTACATTAAATTCATATGCAATGTATCCTCCACTAACCATATGTTGATTAACAAAATCAGTGAGAACTTTGGTACAACAGAAAGTGTAAAGTTTGTGACTTTCGCTAGATTGCTCCAGTCACTAGTGTGGATAAGTATGTAAATGGATAGAGACAGGGAAACAAATACAAGATGTACGTGGTTCACCCAGACTGGCTACGTCCACGGAGTCGAGGAGTTCTCATTAATTGTGAAGGGTTTACACAAGTACGTAGGTTCAAGCTCTCATTTAGTGAGTACTAGTGAATGATTTTAGTACAAATGACATTAGGAAATATTGTGAGAGAATGATCTCTATTTATAGAAGAGAGTTTCTAGTTTCATTCTGACATTGACACGTGTTGTGTTGTGATTGGCTTCTGATATTGACATGTGTCGCGCTATGATTGGTTTTTTATGTCAACACGTGTCGCGCTGATTGGCCTCCTGGTTGGAGGGAAACTCTTCTGGGTCCTTGATGGTATAACGTTGACCGGTGCTCAGTAGTTTTGGGATTGGTCTAAGTATGGTACAAACACCATACGAAAAGAGAATACACAGAAGTTTGAATACAATGAATACAAAAACACCTATGATCACTGTATAAATATAGCCCTAGAAACTCAAGGCCTTGTATCATGCATGCTTACACACTTAGTCAGTTGGTCAACCAACTCCCTCACTATTCAATGCCTTCATAAACTCATTCTCGAATGCTCCTCCAAAAAACAGTTTTTTATATAATCCATTATACTTTGAACAAAAGTACTTATGAGCAAAAATACTTTCTGCATAAGCATTCTCAAACGAAAAATAATAATTAAAACATTTTTCCCTACACTCTTATTTAATCTTGTCTACGTTCTATTTGATTCATTCACTTTGATGATCTAAATTATTATTATTTTTATATTTATAAAAAATAGTAATTATTATCATTTTCTTTCTCAAACATGTCCCTAGTCATTGGACCCAAACGTCAAAGTTTCAGCCCACTTTAAAAAGAAAAAGAATTTTTTTTTCCTTTTCCAACAAAAATAAAAAATAAAAAACAAAAAATCTTACACAAAACGATAAAGCTCCGAACCCTATAAAGGCCCAGAAACCGTAATCCGAATAAAGACCTAAAATTTCCCTCCTTCCCAACACTCCCAACAAACTGACATGGACCAACAGAACTCCACCACCACCCCAACTCCCTCCACCTCCCAACCACCCACCGAATCACCCCCAACCGCCCAATCCCAGCCTCCACCTCAGCCTCAGCCACCGCCGCCCTCCTCCTTACCAACTACTCCAACCTCCACCCCAACCCCCCCTCCCCCAAACCCTAACCCTAACCCTAAAGCCTCCACCCCATTACCCCAACAACCACCACCCCAGTCCCTTCCACCCCCTTCGCAGCCCAGGACTCCCTCTACATTGGCTCGTCCTCCCCCCTGGCAGCAGTCCCACTTCCACCACTTCCCTTCGCCTTCTTCTTCCGCTTCGTCTGGGCCTCCTCCTCCTCCGCCGCCTTCAGCCTCCCAGCCTCCCCCGCCGAGGGGCGGCATTGCCATTGGTGTTCCCGCGCATCACACCGGCCCTTCTCCTCCCCAACCCACTCCGTATTCGTCTTCCTATGGGCATCATTTTGGTGGGATGGGCCGCGGCGGTGTCTCTGTGCCTGAATCTGTATCCAATTCCAGTCCTTCCCAGGTGACATTGTAACTCCATTCATTATGATATCTTTGTTACTTCCCACAAAAGAAAAAGAAGACAATTTTATGGATTATTCGATATTTCGGTATATGTTGGGTGACCAATTTGGACTTACAGTTTGTAATTTTACCATGTTTTGATTTTGCTTAGATAGATATTTGTGTGATTTACTTGCTGCTGGAATATTTAGTAGTAGTTTTTTTTTTTTGGGCGATATATAGGTGAGACCGTCAATGCAGGGAATGGGGATGATGGGTTCACTCGGTTCTAGTTCTCAAATGCGGCCAACTGGGATTCCGGCACATCATCCACAGAGGCCAGTTCAATCCTCTGTGAGGCCGCCATCTACTGCAAGTAATCAGTCCCCGTCTTCCCAAGTCAGTATCCAGTTTCTACATTTTACTATTTTGATTTTAATGTGCAATATGTAGTTTGTGGACATGTGGAAATGTGGATATATAATGCGACAGTGCTCTTTCAAAACTGATAAAGACGATCTATGTTGCCTGCTAAGGTTTTTCTGATTGGATTTATTGTGGAATTTGGTCCTTTTAACTTCAATATACTATTAGCGAAGCAAACAAAGGACTGGAGTTGTGTTGTTAGGTTCTTTGTTCACGGTGAGTGTGCACGAGGAACTTAAAGTAAAGCGGAACTTAGGCCAAATCTCTTGGGAATGCTTATGAAAGTTAGATAGAGTGACTTGAATGCAATATATCTGAGGGAACGTTCAAATAACTCATTGAACTGTGTCATTTGAATTCTTGAGCGTTTAGTAGCAGCTTTGTAATTCTTCAGTAATTCGTTTGGTAGTGCTCTTCTAGTGCTTTTTTAACAATAGAGTCTAAACTTTAAAGTTCCGTGGGACTTTGAAAATCCCTTATCCAAACATAGGGCAAAGAATTTGATAGTGAAGATTAATAAGTTATGGTATTGTTTGAATTTTGTTTCCGGTCATTTTTCATTTAGTATTGCGTTAGTTGAATATGCTTGGGGATACCATTTGTGTGTCCTGCTTTTTTTTTTTTTTTTTTTTTTTTACTGTTATAATGGAACCATGCATTCTTTGCTTTTGACCTTAAACTTTGTTGGTGCATTTCTGTATACGATTCTTGTTATTGTGCCTTGTTAAAGATATCTGGTAATTAAGGTTTTTTTTTCCTTTTTTTATTTTAATGTTCTCCAAGTATGTTTGCTTATTCCATTTCCTTTATGCAGAATTTCCAAGGGCACAGCCTTTTACGAGTTTCATCAGTGGGATCTGGTTCATTTCCAAATACATCTCCAGGTTTGCAGCCTCATACTCAGCCATGGTTGTCATCTGGGTCACAAGGGAAGCCGCCTATGCCATCCCCTTCATATAGGCAGCAGATGAACTCGCCATCCATGCAGCAAAGGTCGCATCTTCCGCAGCAACAGCCCCATCCTACAGCTCCCCAGCAGCAGCACCATTCCATGCCTTCAGCTTCACAGCAGCAGCACCATCCCCTGCCTTCTGCTTCACCGCAACAGCACCATCCCATGCCTTCAGCTTCACAGCAACAGCATACATCATCCGCGCAACACCAACAACCTTCCTCATCACATCAGGGTCCCGAGCATTTTGGCCAACAAGTTCAGCCATCAAGGGTCCCACAAACCATGCCTCGTCAGCAACAAATCACAAGGGTTCAGGGCCCTGTAAATCCCAAGTCTTCCACTCTTGTAGCTGCACAGCCTAACACGGTCCAATCAGGGGCCCAAAATAAAACACCTAGTCCAGAAACAGATGAATCTTGTAATAGAATTCTTGGCAAAAGAAGCATCCGTGAGCTAGTCAACCAGGTGAGTCATGTTGACCTTCTTTCACCATACTTTGATATTCGCTCATGCTAGCATTTGTGCTGAGGTTTCATCAGTATTCATTGTTAAAGCTAAATCTAAGAGGCATTCCTTCTGCTTTTGAGTGGATGGTCATATCATTTGTTAATGGTTCTTAAAGGAACAAGTTTCACCCATTTATATTGGGAAGAGAAACATTACCTCTAGCATGTTAATTGGCAGCTCCGATCTCTCTAAATTGCTGTATCCTTTTCTAACATATGCTCCACATTTAGTATGAGGGGATTGCCTAACCCAACTGCTTGACTAAAATATCTTTTTTTGTTTATATTTAAAATTAATCTTCATTTTTGTTTCCTGTTACTGAGGTTTTTGCTTTTGGACAGATTGATCCATCTGAGAAGTTGGATCCAGAAGTTGAAGAAATTCTCATGGACATTG